GTCCGTTGTGTTTGAAAAGTTTGCATTCGGATTAAGGGTCCCTCTTGTCTTAAAATATTTGTGACTACGCCACTTATAATGTTTGTCAATTGTTCTAGATTCATTGCCTGCAGTAGGTGCGTTCAGCACACTAGGTCTATTGGGATTGGTTGGCATATTTTGTTAGATATTTGCAATGATTTTATTTTATTTTGGTTAGGTGTCGCAGAGTTGGACTCTAGTTATTTAGAACCGGAGAGTCCCCCGTTAGGTAGTGAGTCGCGGTTCTTTTTTATTCTTGTAAGTTTTTTCCTGTACGAGCCTTTTTTTTATTTTGATTTGTAATTTATAATTCTCTGGAGGGTCCCTTGGGTGGTGAATCGCAGAGAATTTTATTTTAATAAGCTGGAGGGTTCCCCCGAAGCTGGTGAATCGCAGCTTCTATTTTTATTATTATTTTTTTTATTGGCTGTACGAGCCTATTATTATTTATATGTATTAATTAGGGTTAGTAAATATACAAGTTTTAGATTTTAATTTAATTAATAGTAATTCGCAAAACATACATTTTAAATTCTTAAAAATTTTTCTTTACATATTTTTTTCTTCTCAGTTTGTCTTATTTAAATGCTTAGAAAATTTTAACGGAATACCTTTTAAATTCTTAAAATTTTTCCGTTAAATATTTTTTCTTTTCCAGTTTTTCTCTTACTTTGTTTTATTTAAATGCTTAGAAAATTTCTTAATATTAGGTGCTTACTTATTACTAGCCTCCTGGCGCATGGGGTGTCCTCCCGTTCTTCTTTACTACTAAGGTTCCCTCGTTGCACACGTATAGAGGGTGCGTTTTCTTCCTACTGGATCCTAACGCGTGGTTGACGAACCAGCTCGTTTGGTCCGGGTGCCTTGGTGTCTTTATTTCTCGGCCGTCGTTCCACGGGCGATTCAGATATTATCACAACACGATTCTAACACCGCACTTAGACGCAAACTTCAGCTGGTCCCTGCTCGGGCACCAGTTAAGTTTTTTATTTATTGAATTGTTTTTTAAAAATAGCGGACTCGCGTCCGCGGTCTTTATTATTTTGATGTTATTTTCAGACTAAATATAATTAATTTCTTAACTCTAAATTAAACCTAAGTCCGTGCCGGGTCACGTTGCCTAAAGTTACCGCGTCAGCAGTTGATCGGACGCGCGTGTGAAGTCGTCAACTTAATATCGCTGATGCAGCGTCAGCAATTGGTCGGTTTCGGTTCAAGTTATTGACCGATGGTGAGAATTGGCTGACCGTGTGAACTGCTGTGTTAACTTATATATATAACCCTATATCTAACTCGATTAGTTTTAGGTGATACAAACCACCGTTAGGTGAACAAAACTATTATACTCTATAGCAACAGGTTGCGAGAGTATAAAAATATATTATCAGCGTGACAAGATTAATCGATTTAGGCATGTCCGTCCGTCTGTATATACGCGAACTAGCCCTTCAGTTTTTGAGATATCGTTCTGAAATTTTTCACACGGTCTTTTCTCCCCAGGAAGGAAACAATATCGGATCACTATAGTATATAGCTGCCATACAAACTGAGCGATCAAAATTAAGTTGTTGTATGGAAACTTTTGTATTTGTGAAAAGAAGGTGTAGAAGGTTAACGCAGAAAAAATTATTATAATAGAAGTGAAGAAATTTAATTATATTTTTATATATTAACATTGAGGGCAGGGCAATTGAAAATAAAAAGGATAACATTGCTAACTGGAGTACCTCAAGCATATTATGTAGTATTGTTTGTCAATTTAAAGAACGTTAACTAATTGTAAATAGGAAAAGTAGTGCAATCAGAAAACGGAAAAGAACATATTATACGTTCTCTGGTGTAAGTATGTGCATACTGTTAGTCAGCCGACTACTTTAGCTACATACATATAAGGACTGTGACTCGTCAACATGCTAAGGTAGCCGTCCGTACAATGAAAAATGCCAGAAAACCAGTTTTGACGAACGAACAGAGAACGTATGAACTGCAAATACAAAACTCAGCAAAACCAAGGTACTTTTAACACATTTATACTGCAAAGTGCAGTTCATTATCGACATAATAAGAAAGCGTGGATGACAACAACTTTATTTAAGGAATGGGTTCAAATACTAAATGATTCCATGGCAGCTAATAATCGAATGATATTGTTATTCATATACAATTGTACGGTGCGTAATAGTTACCCTCTTCTTAGCCACGTGAAAATTGAGTTTTTGTCACCCAACATCACATCCAAGCTTCAGCCCCTTGACATGGGTATCATAAAAGACTTTAAATCATTATACCGCAAGGAAATGGTTATTAATTTGGTTAACAGCATTAATGAAAAAAAGTTTAATTCCACAATATTAACACCTATACTTGTACAAATAGATTATAAAGCGTGCAAAAATATAAGCATATTGTGTATTCAAAACTGCTTCCGTGCTTGCGGTTTCAGTAAAATATTAAACAATGATTCATTGGAGGTAATTTTGATAAAATATTGGAATAAGTATCGCTTATAAATAATGAAAGTGACTAGAGTGTTAATTCCTTAATTATTGACAACAATCAGTTTGGAGAACGAAATAGAAAAACTAAGAGAAAACAAGTAAGAAAGGGCTAAGTTCGGATGTAACCGAACATTTTATACTCTCGCAAAGTCAAATGGTATACTCGTTTTAGATTTCATTGTGGTGTATAAAAATACCAAGCAATCGAAAATTACAGACTTCTTTAACGCTTGAGTTTTTGATTTTATGTTTCTGTTTATTATAATCTCACAACATGTTGCTACAGAATATAATATATATATAATTTTGTTCACCTAACGGTTGTTTGTATCACCTAAAACTAATCGAGTTAGATATAGAGTTATATATAAATAAATGATGAGGATGAAGAGACGAGTTGAAATCCGGGTGACTGTCTTTCCGTCCGTCCGTCCGTCCGTCCGTCCGTCCGTGCAAGCTGTAACTTAAGTAACTTAAGAGATATCTTTATGAAACTTGGTACACATGTTTCTTGGTACCGTAAGGCGGTTGGTATTGCAGATGGGCGTTATAGGGCCACTGCCACGCCCACAAAATTCCAATAATCAAAAACGAATAAATTGCCTAACCTAAGCTCCACAATAATTTACAAGACTGTTATTTGGTATACATTTTTTTTAAAGTAGGCGTGGTCCCGCCCCTAATAGGTTTAATGTGCATATCTGCTAAACCGCTAAAGCTATAATAACACTGAAAACAAATGTTTTTAGCACATCTATCGACAGTGTAACATCGGGTGACAACTCCGCCCATTCCCCATATAACGGTACTGTTTAAAACTACTAAAAGCGCAATAAATCAAGCACCAAGCACGCCAGAGACATTCAATTTTATCTCTGGGATGGTATTAGATGACTTTATAGGAACCGCGTTCAAAATTATACAGTAGGTGGCACCGCCCACTTCTAATCTAACAAATCCATATCTTTTTGTAAATATTCCAATACCATAGTAATGTATATAATTTGTATACATCAAAAAGTAAAGATTTTAATATACATGTATAATATTTTAATATACATGTATAATATATTCTGAAATTTTACTTAAAATCTTTTGATTGAAAATTGGGATTTTTTCCGATATTGTGTCAATATAGGAACAAATAAATATTTTAAATAAACAAAATATATATATATAGTGTCTTTGGGACAAAAGAAGGTAAGTTTACAACAAATTACGTGAAAGAATTCATTTGTTTGTGCAAGATAAAAGTAAAAAAAACCCAAAAATTGGTAGTAAAAATATGTTTTGTTGGCCGCAAAAAGTGGTTAAAAACAAATTATTTGCAAATTTTTACAGACGATTCAAACATGAAATATTTAATAAAAAATATAGCGTTATAAAGAAACAAGTCGCACCACATAACTGGTATATACAACTTGTATTTTGATTTATTCATTTCGCATAGACTTTTATACTTATATGTATGTGCATACATATGTATGATATTGTTCTTTACGTTTTTGCTTTTAAATCAATATTCAAACATTGATTACAATTTATTATATTTAGAAGCTGTAGATAAAGGAATATTTACGTAAAAAAATCAATTACATTCATTTCATCAAAGTAAATAATTATTGGATTTCATAAAAAAACAAAATATAGATGACCGCTGATTATACAGTGTCTGCAAGTATTTCCATTTATTTTCATACAAACAAATTTTCGGATTAACTAAAATTATTGTGATTGCTAATACAAAAGCTGTGTCTAAATAAAGTGAGGTAGCTCCTTAAAACCCATTGGACCATCCAAAGTACATATGTACCTATATACATATGTATGGTAAAATGTATGTATGTACATACCTTGTACTTGTATAAAAAGGGCAGCTGATTCGGTCAGCAAAAGTCTGATGGAATAATATTTCAACTTTATATACATATATATGTATATATAGTATGTACGAATGGACCATACATTATATTTAATATACCACATACATACATATACCTCATGCAGTCTAGCATTTAGGTACTTCGGTACACACTGCCTTTGGTACTCCCAATGTGCCACCCATTACCACGGTTTTCGCAATGCAACTAAAAGTAACCGGCCAATTTATGCACAAACAAATCAATGCACATACATATGCAATGACCACACATCACCGCACACCTATAATTAGACGCATATTGAGTCATAAACATATTTGTTCGAGTTACTGATATCGATAAGTATGTACGCATGTAAGTATATGTTGTTGTACTGTTTGCTTTAACAGGTTGTTTTTGCGACTTTGCAATGAGCGCACACTAAATTAACACATCCTACAATTTATGTGTGTGTGCGCACGCTATTGTAGATATGTGTGTTGACATGTTAATATAAAATTTACTTTTGTGCACATTGTTTCGATTCACCCGCATTTACGTAAGGTTAAACCGATTTATCACAGAGCAATTGCCGGTCAAATACTCTTTCGTGGAGACTTACCGCAGAGTAGAATGAACACATCTAATGCCACACGATATAAAACGCGTTTGTTGTGATCCATTTTGATGGTTTTCGAAGCGTGCTCGTTGGATGATTCCCCCGTACACCCAGCGCCTAGGCGTACTTCAACGTTGTTGTTATTTAAATGTGCGATTGCCACTGTAGTTGATGGGGCAACAGTAGTTTTGCTGTGATAGCCGTTGCTGCAGGTGCAATTTTTACCACAAATTTCGTTACAATTGTGATTCGGATTTCGATAGCGGTTTTCCACGTCACGCGATTTTACCAACAACAAAGATGACGACGACACGTCTGCACTATTTTTTCTTTCTGGCCGATGCAGCGATGTCACCTCGATAGCAGCTGATTCGTTACTCATTTCGTTGGCAGATTTGTGGTACTTTAAAATAGCTAAAGATGGACGTTCAACGTTACCGACGCGATGTTGACTCTCTGCTTATATTAACGATGAGAGAATATGCCATGAAAAAGCTCACTCCGAGCTAGTCTGCGTTGCGTTTTCTTATCCAATACACAAATCGTATACAAACATTAAACGAATTTAGAGAGCGAGAGCAATAACGAACGCGTCTTTTGGAAAACTTGAGTACATTAAAAACTAATGAGCTATCCGAAAGCGAACACGTTTTTCACTTTATACATATAATTATGTTTAATGTTTATCAATTTCGTTTTGACAACGATTGCTCTTGTTGTTTATTCCACTGCATATTCTGTTGGTTTACTACGCGCTAAGATTTACTCCGAATTTGGACCTACGTAGATTTTTAGTTTGTTTCGATGAGATTCTAGTAATCAAAGCTTTCTACACTCTAAGAAATCACCTCTCGATAATGTGGCGTTAGCGAACCGAACCGTATTTTTAACTTAAAACGAATATAACGATTTTATTACAAAGGCGATTTTCCAATACATATTCTGCAAAGATAGTTAAATATGTTCAATGTAATTATGCTGTCTTAATTATTAGGTATACAAGTGAGGTAGACTGAGTTCCAGCGAGACCAAACTTTATATAAGACTTCGCTCAATTTACAGATTATATGAATAATAATATATATAATAAAATAAATACATTATAATGTCAACGTGAGGTGATAAGGCAGATCCCTAAAATAATCAGAACCTGTAATGAAATTTCTCCCCAATAACAGAGTACCACAAAAAAGTTAATACACCTTCAAAATGAAGTTATTATTTATATTTTATAGGAAAGCACAATTATGTACAATATATTTTAATTTCCTTTCTTGTGGCTGAAAAGGCGGTCTGACCTACATATGTATATGAATATTCATTTATCAAAATACAAAGATATAATTTCCAATATTGTGTAAATATTTAGACACTTTTACAATATAATAGATTCGATATTTAAGCAATCCTTCCATATAAGCGTCGTCAAGTCGGTATTATTAATTTGTCAGATTTTATTTTTATACTCTCGCAACATGTTGCTACAGAGTATACTAGTTTTGTTCACCTAACGGTTGTTTGTATCACCTAAAACTAATTGAGTTAGATATAGGGTTATACCTATATATATAAATGATCAGGATGAAGAGACGAGTTGAAATCCGGGTGACTCTCTGTCCGTCCGTCCGTCCGTCTGTGCAAGCTGTAACTTGAGTAAAAATTGAGATATCTTTATGAAACTTGGTACACATATTTCTTGATACCGTAAGACGGTTGGTATTGCAGATGGGCGTAATCGGACCACTGCCACGCCCACAAAACGCCATTAATCAAAAACAAATAAATTGTCATAACTTAACTCCACAATAAGATACAAGGCTGGTATTTGGCACACAGAATTGCATTAGGGAGGGGCATCTGCGGGTAAAATGTTGTTAAAAAGTGGGCGTGGTTCCGCCCCTAATAGATTTAATGTGCAAAATTCACTGAGAACAAATGTTTTTAGCACCTCTATCTACAGGGATCGTATGAGCTGACTTTATAGGAGCCGCGTTCGAAATTAGGCAATGGGCGTGGCACCGCTCACATTTAGGTGAAAACCCATATCTTAGGATCTGCTTAACCGATTTCAACTAAATTCGGTACATAATATTCTTCTCCTATTTCTATATTATAGTACGAAAATGGGCGAAATCGGATTACAATCACACCTATTTCCCATATATCACCATTTTAAATTCCATCTGATTTTTTCACTTTCCACTATGCAAATCAAACAACAATGATTGTATTGGAGTAAAACTTTGCGTGACTTTGCAAGTCCCTAGGTACTGAATTTGTTGACCCCAGTTCCTATAGTTGCCGTTTTACCGAAAATATCGGTTAATGTGTAAGACATTTAATTGAAATTCATATAATAAAATAAATAAATAAAACTCTCGATAATAGTATGTTTGTGTCAAAAATGGGTTCAATCGAATCAATATTTCCTATAGCCCTCATATACCTAATATAAAGATTTTTGAACTTCCGGGTGACTTTATACCGCATATATCGGCCAATATGTGAGTTATGAAAATGAGAAAGCGTGTTTTACTCATAACAAGGTAATTTTGTGCCTAAAATGGATGAAATCGAATGAAAATTTTACCTGGCCCCATGTAACTAATATCAGGATTTTCGAACATTCGTCTAACTTTACTCCATATGATTTTGATTGTATGTGAGGTACCTTAATGAAACAGTGGGAGCATTTTATTAGTCTGTGGCATGTTAGTAGTATGTAGTATTGGCAAAAATTGATAAAATCGGGTTAATGCTACCTCTACTTCCATATACTACTTATAATACTTCTCGTATGTCGGTCAGTGAGTATTAAAATTTTTTTTATATATAAAATTGCTTCTAAATTATGTTCTCTATGCTCGAGTATAGCTGAGCAATGTAAAAATTAATATCTTTCTCTATCCCCAATATACCTATATATGATTTCCGTCTTTCCTCTTGACTTTAAACCGTTCCGGTTTATTAAAATGTGACATTTTAATGTAATTAAGTTTCTTAAAAATTATGTGGTTTGACGCTGAATTAGAATGAGAATAGTATATACCTTGATCTAAATTCCGAATCTCTGGTTGACGTTTTCCACACAAGCTTATAATATAAAATTTAGACACTTTGGTCGAGTTAATATCACATTCATACTTATGTATATCTCACTTCAAGATGTTTTTTGTTTTTTTTTTTTAATATAATTTTCGCTGACGCAAACTAAGATATAGCAATAAAACTAAGACTAAGCTTATGGCCTTTAATATAAGTCAAGAAGACACCAAATTTGATTGTAATTTAATCACGAGTTCATTTAATAATGGATGTTTAATTCTTTCTCAACTTTGCCACACCTGAAGGAATTTCCTGGCCTTTGATTCTTGCGAATTAAAAGAGTATAAAATTCTTGGTTCCGCCCTAGTACCCATTATCGGGTATATATTGACCCAAGCTCCAACATACTTTATGTAAAAAATTCAAACTTCTGTTTGGCTTTATAAACACGTAAAATATTAGATATACAACAGTTTAATGCCGAAAATGTGTGAAATCGATCCACGAATTTCCCCAGCATACATGTACTACTTATGATATAATCTTATGGTATAATTTATTTCGTAAATTTTATAATTTAATGAAATTAAATGGACAGTTTTTCTTAAAAATAATGTGGTTTATCGCTGCATATGAATGAAATTGTTTAAACCTTATAACCCTAATATACTGATTACCGCTCCTTTCGTACAACAGCAACCTCATATACCCCACATGTTAAATCTAACCCCTTCGGTTCAGTTTATACCACATATACCATGTTTGAGCTAAATAGCTTCTTTTTGTTAAAGTTAACATTTCGGAGAAAAAATAGTATTTACCTAAAATAGTAAATCTATGATCAATAACAGAAGAAATAATAATCGAATATGAATTCTTTCGCAACATTTTTTTACTTTCACAACATGTTGTAACAGAGTAAGTTTTGTTCACCAAACGGTTGTTTGCATCACCTAA